AAGAATACCTTCTGTTTGATTCCAATTATATAACATTCTAGGCTCTGCAAACTCACACAGAGAGACAGAAAGCAGAACAGGAGTTGCTGGAGGGTGCAAGAGAAAGATTATAAAAGGACAGGAAGAAACAACCCAAAACCCAACAGGCCAACTCAAAAGGAAGAAGCCATCCTGGGTTTCTACAGGTGTTTTTACCTGAATGGGTCTCAGGGCTTTTCTTTGAGATAAGCTGAGGTCTGGATGTAGTGTTTGTACTTTCTCTACATATTTGCCCGTGTGGTATTCTTCGAGAGAGTGGAGGATTACACAGCACTCACCGATATGCCAAGGACAACCGGCAAAGCACAGAGGTAAACACCTGAGCGACCGTTCTCACCGCTGGCGCAGGTAGATGGTGCCCAAAGGGCAGCTACAGACCCCAAGCATTCATTGCAAGAAAACACAGGTACGGCTTTTTAAGAATGGGGACACAAAACCACCAGAAAGAACAACAACACAAAATGGTTCCCGTAAAATCTTATTCACGTTTCCCGAAGAGAAATGTGCACCTGTCCCTAATGGAATGAGGAAAAAGGAAAAAAGTCCTGTTCCGTGTTCGACCTTTGCACACCTGAGTTTTACACATATATTCACGTTTTTCCAGCACGAAAGTAAAGGCACCAGGGGAAAATGCAAAAGGTATGTTCTGCTCTGTACGCAAATTTATCTTCACGTTTGTTCTCGTTTCCTTCCACCCGTTTATCTTTCCCAGTTGCCAAGAACAGCTCTGGGAGTAATCACCTCCCACGCCAAAAGCTGGGGACATGATAATTGGCGTCTGATGACAGGGGATTACATTTTTAAATAGTCACTTTCAACTTCATAACATATATGTCATTTTTAACTGTCTAGATATACTGCTTCAACTCCTACATTTAAGGGGAGAGGGGTGTATATGGAAGACGGCCCAATGAGAAATATACATTCACCAAAACTTTGCATTGGTTTAAAAAAAAAAATTGCAACCCAGAAGATCAGGTGTCATTTATGTAACAGCGATCTTACAATACAAGAGCTAGGAAAAGATCTCTATCTATGTATCAAAATGACTTCCCGGTTAACTTGAGTAAAGATTTGAGTTCTTGAAATATCATATAATATTAATAAACCTAAGGGAAAATAAATTCTTCTTTGCTGTACTGAGAAACACACACCATGTATCATTCATAGGAGATACTGGTACTACTTTATAGAAAGGGGCAATTTGCAAAGGAACCCATCTGGGACATTCACCTCGCGTCTCTTACGAGCTCCTAATACTGAAAAGAACCGAAGATGCCTGTTCATTTTGACACCAACACACCCGTAACGTGCATCTCAATCAGTTGGGAAAGCCTCACCAGCTCCACACAAACGTAAAAATGAGCGACCCCAGCAGAGCCAGTATCGTGGCTCCTTGCAGCCCGGTGGCACGGCCGGCCGGCGCACTCACCAGCAGGGGGATGTTTGCTTAAGGCTGTTAATAAGGGACAGAAAGGTTACCTTAGGAAAGCAAGGACCCTGACATTTCTGCTAAGGGACCCTCCACATGTATACACAGGGAGGGACAAGCAAAGATACAAGGGCAGCTCTGTTTGTAATGAAGAAACATTTGAAACAACCTAGGCGGCCAGCAATAGGGGAATTAATAAAACTACTAAATCCCCCAGCCAGCTCGAGCAGTTAAAAGGAATGAGCTAGAGCCACAGGCAACATACAGCGGGATATCTGAGGCTTTGTAGAGTTTTTAAAAAGACACGTTCCATAATGTTTACAAAAGGATACCCTTTGAGGGAAGAAAAATCCCACCACAAACACTGTATTTCCTATGTATAAAGAGGTAATCAGCACAAAAGCAAAAAGGAAATGAGATGGAAAGATCTGAAATAAACTCCTAAGAGGAGGAGGGGGAGGGAGGGAAGTACCAGCTGGGAGTGTAGGGTCCTCTGCTCTATAGAGAACAAAAAATAAGAGAAATAGCGATTTTATTCTCTGTTACTGTCTACACCTTTTTTTTTTTTTTTACATATACAGGCAGTCAACGCTGCCTGCTAATGTTTGTACCTCAGATAATCTAGTTGACCTTTTTAGAGCTTATCTGAAAAAGCAAAAGGGAAAAGTAAAAGAATGAAACTTTTTATTATTCATAGCTGCCAACTCGATCTTATTCTAGCTCTGGAATGAGCCTACTGAAACACGTTTTTCCAAGGTTAGAGGTTCTAAGATTGATTTGATGAGGTGATACCAGGGCATTCTGTACAACTGGAATTTTTCTGCAGAAAAATTTACTTTATGTCTTTGTAACAATTCGTATCTGGTTGGCATTATTTGGGAAAGTGTGTTAAACAAATGATCCCCTCTTTCTGAACTAGGAGACCATTGCTCCTTCTTAATCTTGTTACGGAGATTACACTGGCATCCTGCTTCAGCCCCCACCTGGCTGTGTTCTGCAGGGACCCCCACAATTCCTACACATGGGTGGGGTGCCAAAAGGAGACGAACACCATTACCTCAAGTACCCCAGCTACTCCTTCACTGAAAATCACAGGAAACTCATAAAATGAAATGCAAATGAAATGAATTTAGAATCCAGGACCCACAGGCAACAGCCACAGATAATTGGGAAATGAAATATTCTACTTCCTCCAAATTCACCTACAGTTTCAATGCGCTCCCAGTCAAAATCCTGGCAGGCATTTGTAGAAACTGACGAGCAGGCTCTAAAAATTATAGGGGAACGCAAAGGACTAGAATACACAAAACAATTTTGTAAAAGAACGAAGTCGGAGGATTTACAATACTTGATTTCAGTACTCACCATAAAAATACAGTCATCAAGCCTGTGTGGTAACTGGCATAAAGATAAGCACACAGATGAATGAAACATAACACAAACTCCAGAAACAGACCACAAATACACAGAACTCTGAATTTTAACACAGTTATCACCACAATTCCATGGGGAGAGGATAATCATTTCAACAAATGGTGCCAGAACAACTTGACATCCATATGGGAAAAACAGGACCATCGAGCCCTGCCTCACACCATACACCAAAATTGACTCAAAACGGATCACAGGCCTCAATGTAAAAAGTAAAACAATAACAATGCTGGAAAAAACTTTTGTGACCCAGGTTGACAAAGGTTCTTAGATAGGACACAACAAGCAAGAAGCATAAATGAAAAAAAAAAAAAAAGGGATAAACTGGACTTCACCGAAATTAAAAGCTCCTGCACTCTGAAAGACGCCTTAAAAGGGCCCACGGACCAGGTGAAAACACTCACAAGCTATGTGCGTGTCTGACAAAAGACTTGTATCCAGATTATACAACCAACTCTGATGATTCAATAATAGAAAGACAAACAAGCTGTAAAAACGGGCCAAAGATTGGCACAACCACTTCACAAGAGAGGCGACAAGGGGCTAACAGGCACAGGAAAAGGTGCTTACTGTCGTTAGTCATCAAGGAAATGCAAATTAAAACGAGATACAACCACATACCCACCGAAAGAGCTAAAATTAAAACACCAGGATGTGGAAAATGTGAAGTAACTGGAACTCAGATATTTCTGGCGGGGATATACAGTGGCCCCAGGCCCCTTACACCTGCTCAGTTCACAGCCTGGCCCCCACACAGCATCTGAGGTGCTGAGCCTGCTCTGAAACCTCCACAGAAAGGAAGGAAGGAAGGCTGTGTTCTCTGGCTCTAACCCGGGGCTCTAACCCCCTCATGACGAACAGTGCGGTCACTAGGATGCCGGAAGTGGCCAACGGAGCTTTGATTTAGGTTATTAGTAAAAACCTGCTGTGCCGAACTCAGGTGACCTAAATATCTAAGCTTAAGGGGCTTCCCCCATCCCACCACATCTTCCTCATGCAAATGGATTTCTCCAAGATACCTGAAAGCAGAGGTTCTCAAACTGAGGGCCAGCAGTATCAGCATGACATGGGAGTTTGTCAGAAAGGCGGCCCCTCGGGCCCCATGTGAGACCCCGCGAGCGGGTCTGCGTCTTCCCGAGATGGGCCGGCCCGAGTGACAGGTGCTGCCAGGGCCACAGCTAAGGCCCTCCCAGACTGTAAAGTGCCATTCAAATGGGTGCAGTGAGGGGTGCCTGGGGGGCTCAGTCGGTTGGGCGTCTGCCTTCGGCTCAGGTCATGATCCCGGGGTCCTGGGATCGAGCCCCCGCATTGGGCTCCCTGCTCGGCGGGAAGCCTGCTTCTCCCTCTCCGGCTCCCGCTGCCCCCTGCTTATGCTCTCTGTCAAATAAATAAAGAAATCTAAAAAAAAAACCAAAACAAAAAACAAATGGGCGCAGCGGGCATGAGCAAAGGACAGCTGAGCTGGCTATCGCAGGAGTCCTGCCGGGAAGGGAAGACGGTTCTGGAGACAACTTCATTTTCTCAAACAACCTTAACCTGGGGGACAGGCACCGAGAAACAAAAAAAAGTACAAAAAGAAAAAAAGATGTAAAACTATATATTTTTTCTAAGATGCAAAAAAGCGATGGCATTTCAACACAAAAGAAACGTAGATGCTCCTGAATTATTCAGACCCAGGCGACTTGATTATACAGACAGAACGAAAAGATCCAACGCCTTTCATCCTATCGCCCGGCTTTGTCACCAGATCGGCAGGCCCTGGTTTCTCACCCTGGCATTTGGGGAGGCCTGGGATCAGGTCAAATTTCTCTGTGTGCTATCAGGAGCTACCTGGCCCAGGGCCTCTGCTAGGGTGCAGGAAACGTTTGCTGGATTTAAGTTCTTTCTGTAAGGGTGAACAAGGAACAGCCTTATCGCCAAGGAATTTCAAGCTTCTGCTTGATCCAAGGGAGGGGAAGGGGAAGATTAGTGCCAGGGCAGGCCTGGAACGGTGGTTGGAGGGCACTGGCCAAGGAGGTTTCACAGAACCACAAAGAGGACCACGATGAAAGGAATCCCGAATGTTAATTCCTTCTACAATATTTTTTTGAGAACCTACCTTGTGCAGGCACCACTCTGAGACGCTGGGGACAAGACAGACAGATCCTCCATCCACATGTCCGAGATCCGTGGGCTCTCAGGGCTTCTTCTGCCTACGAGATAAATAGGGTCAGACCACCCAGCACCTGTGTTCTCTAGTTTAGGGCTCACAGCAGGTGGGAGGGCCAGCCTCTCTCAAGGCCCCTCAGACCCTGGACCCCTGGGGCATCCCACCTCCCCAACACGGGACAGAAGCTCCTCTATGATTCTGCTCCCTCCCTTCCCTCAGAAGACAAAGCTGAAAAAAAGCACCTGTTAGAATCTGATTCCCAATCCACCTGCCAGTTAGTTCTGGGCTCAGCTCCCATGTGAATTTCTCTCATTTGCTAATTTCTTTTCATTTTTGATAAGCCTCTGCCACTTCCGCACAATCCCTCCAATAGCTCAGTGAACACCCAAAAAAGGAGGGGGACGATGGAACCAATTTTATCATCAGCTAGTTGGAAACATTGCTCAGTAATGCATGTTTTAATTCCGAAAAGGTTCTTCAGTTTTTTTTTTTTTTTTTCTAATTAGGGAGCTACGGGGAGGCTTGCGGGAAGATCTCACCCACTGTGGGTGCAATGTCTCAGGGTTCATGTCCCAGTGTCTGTGGAGAGATGTTGATGCCTTTTCCACTCACTTTCCCAGACCTTGACATTTAAAGCAATTTGGCGAACACAACTCCCTGGTAATTTTAAGTTTCCTATTTACCTATACGTTTGCATGGTGGGCTGTGAACATTCCTATCCACATCTCCATATATCCTACAAACATCTCTGGTAGCAGATGGGAGAGATGCATATAGCAGAATGTTCTGCGCAGCAAAAGAGCCGCAGACAAGGCAAAAAGCCTACCTCCCAGAGTTGATTAAATCAATTGAGATATGGCCACTGAATGGGAAACCATGTAGCTATTAAAGAGAATAAGGTAACCCATCGTTGCATATGGGATGGTCATATTATCGTATATGCTCTAGTATAATTTACAATACTGTGTTATTATGTATCATATTAATGAAACACAAATTACTAGTATTTATTAAATAATATGTATCATTTATGATTATTTTGTATTACGCACTGCAAACCACTGTATTAACACATCATACATTAACTCATGAAAAATCAAAGTGCAGAGAACTGCAGAGTCAGTCCATTTGTATAAAAATAAAAATTGGAGACTATAAATACGTTCAAGCATATGAGTGTGTCTATCAACCGTCGGCAGCAGCGAGGCTCAGCAATTCCCCGCGCATCAGCATCACCTGGAGCGCTCCGCCGGCGGGTCTAATTTGGCAGGTGTGGGTGAGCCGGCGAGGCTGCAGGGCTGCAAGCTCCCAGGTGATGCTGCTGGTCCGGGACGAGGCACGCACCTGGGCTCAACCGCGGGAATGTGGGGGACAGGGAGCTTTGGGCTTTTTACTTCTTTAACACTTACGCATTCATCCCACAACCCTCGCCGAGCGTGGGCTCCGCACAGGGCAGCCGTGGACCGCCCGGGGGTCGGGCTGGCAACCAGAACGGCCACCTTTCCTCCGCTTCCGGCGTGCTTCGCCCCAGAGGGGAAACTGAGGCTCCGACGCGCGCCGTCGGCGGTCTCGGACTTAGTCCGGCGGAGCTGGGATTCGAACCCCGGCTCTGCGTCGCAGACAAGCGTTCCGCCGGCTCCCGAGTTCCGGACACGCCTCCTCTGCCGTGGCAGTGGGGACTCCCGGACCACAGCCCCAGCGCACGCGGGAACCCCTCAAGGCAGGCCGGTCGGTCGGCGGGAGTCCGCGGGGGAGCGTCCGGCGCGCGCCCGCTGGAGCCCCGCCCCGCCCCGCCCCGCCGGCCGCAGGGACGGGGCGGGGCCGCGCGACGGCCGGGCGGGCGCGCTCGCGTTCGAGCTCGTGCCCGCGGGGCGAGCTCACGGGAGCGACGCCAGGATAGAGGCTCGCGGAGCCGCCATTCCAACGCAGGCGCGGTGGCCAAGTGGTAAGGCGTCGGTCTCGTAAACCGAAGATCACGGGTTCGAACCCCGTCCGTGCCTGGCGTCGGGCTTCCTTGGCGGGGAGACTTTTTAGGCTTGGGATCACTTTTCCAGAGTGGCCCTCCGCAGAGCCCGCCTCCTGTATTCCGCAGCTAGAGCCTCGCCCCTGGGAGCCATGGGTGCAGAGCCGGCCAACTGTTTTCACCCTGTTTGAGTTCAAGTTCTCTTCCCCTCCTCGCCGAGGGTGAGCGTCTGGGTGGTCTGGCCTCCGCGCTTCCGCAAGCTCGGCCCTGCAGACAGCGCCCCCTGCCGCCCCCCGCGGGAAGTGACGGGTCCCCCGGACACCCGCGGCCCCGGGCAAAAAAAAAAAAAAAACAACCACCCTACAGCTGCTGGCACTTGACTGGAGAGCCACTAAGCTTTTTCCCTCAACATTAAAGTCCAATTTTACCCTCTCGAATGAGAGGACTGCCGTGGCCTGATGCCGGGCCCACACCCAGAGTCAGCTGCTGGCTGGCTTGCTGTTTTAAGAAAGAAATCCGTTGCAGGCACTGCGTTCGAGAGAAATCCTGCCCAGACGTGCAGCCGTTCTGACGTGAACACCTAAACCGGTGTGAGCCTCCGTTTGCCCTTCTGTGAAATGGGTCTCTGGCCAGCCGCAGGCGTTTGTGAAGTCGCTGCCGGACACGCTGGACGCTGGCCGGAGAGGCGGCCTCAGTAAACGGAGCTAGGGCCGCAGGGAACCTGTTTTCTTCGCACCACGAAAGGATGCACCACGGGGCTGCTCGAGTGCAGTATGCGGTGACCTCGACCCCAGGGAGGCGGCCTATTGTGTCATCTGAAAACCGGCTTGACCTAGCGCGTGGAAACCTGTGTCAGCCTGACATTCCTAATAGAGTCATGGAGCTCCTGGTGTATGCGTGGTGGAGCTGAACTCAGGGGGTACCTCGGTGAACCAGACAGATCGGGGCGAGCTCTCTCTGATGGAGAGAGTGGGGCTGGGGATGCGATGGGGGGGCGGGGAGCCTGGCGGGAGCGGCCGGCGGCTAGACTCCCGGACTTGCCAGGCTTCCTCAGCATCCCCAGGCTTGTGGAAACGCCGATCGCTGGGCCCCACCTCCAGCGCTTCTGCCTTCAGTAAACCCGAGATGGAGCCTGACCGTTTGCATTTCTAACTACCTCCCACCTGATGCGGATGCTGCCGGACCACACGGAGAACCGCTCTTCGAAAGACAGCCCCATTCTAAAGCCACACCCTAAGCCCCGGGGGCACGTGTGTGTGCATGTATACAAATGTGGAAGCTCACACACATGAAAGTAGTGAACAACAGGGCTTCTCACACTTCAACCTGGGGCGCGCAGGAAAGGGCAGGTTCTGATTCTTTAGTGGAACCGGAGACTCTGCATTTCTGCGTCTTGCTGATGCTGGGATGACTGGTCCCCGCCTTCCCTGACTGGACAGACGGTAGAAGGATCCACACCAAATTAACAGTCGTTGCCTGTCTGGGGGGGATGTCCAGTCGGAGAGCTGTTGAAAGGCTTCCTTCATTTCTATCCTGTAAAGGTTCACATTGTTTTGGATTTTCTGGGAGATGATTGTATTACATGTGTAATTTTTTTTTCTTTCCAGAATCACTCCAGAGCCCACAAACCCAAAGATAACCTATTAGAACACAGGCACATTAGAATGATCCAGAATTAAGACAGATAATGATTGAGTGTCCTCTTCTCTCCACTGGGACACCCATTCATTTTAAAGAAGTGTCACCAAAGAACACTTAGGCTCTTCCCTTTTAAAAATATCCCAAAATATTCCTCCCCCTTAAACAAACAGAAAACCACACTGCCCCCCACGGGTAGGCCAGTATCTGTGGGGGGAGGTTACTTGTCCAGGGAGATTTTCCTGTCCTTCCCTCCAAAGAGTGAATCAGCGCTCCTAGGTGACATCATCCTAGGAAAGCACCCCCAACAATTTCCCAGCCCCACCCTACACAGGGCACCCCCCTTCCACTCCACATGATGAATGGACTTTAGAAAAAGGCAATTTACATAAGGTACTGTGAGTACCATTCTCCACCTCCCCCCCCAAAAAATTGCACAAAATATCTAAGGGTATATATTTATACGTGGAGAAGCTCATGCTATTTAGTTTTTTGTTCTTAAGCTTGGAAGATTACACATAAATCTCAAAATCATCACCTCTGGTTGAAATCTGGGGATGCCACAGAGCTGTAAAAACCAGTTTGGCACAGGCTGTCGAATCAGACACCAGTGACCAAAATCCTGAATTTGGGTCCTCTTTACACTTAAATGCGTAACACTGATTATGTGTCTGAATAAGCAAGCCATTTTATGTTGATTTAAACCACTTGTGTTCATGAATATAGAAAGCCATGTTTGGATTTCTATAACTTTTCTATGAATTTCTGAAAGTCGGCTTGAACTCCGCTGTGTTTGCTCTGTGAAGAATCGTTCTCTGGTCAGCTTTGGGTATGTAAAGGGAAAGATAAGAAGCCCCTGACGCTGGGGGTGGGAGGAGAGGTAACTGAGCCTAGATCCTCTGAGACCCTGCTGTGTGAACTTGACCACTGGGGAGAAGGTGGGTTTGCACTGAGAGCTCTGTAAGGACAGATCAGATCATGAGAGTCAGTGGTAGAAAAAAGGTTAAATAAGAATTCTGAAGCCAAAGAGGGAGCCCAGGATCCTAGCGTTAGCAAGGAAGGGCTGGTTTGTCAACAAAGGCTGCGCGGGAGCAAACTTCAACAGAGACACCAGGTGGCAGCATAGAGCAAGGGCAGGGTTAGCCTGGCTTCTCTCTGCCCTGCATCTACCAGAAACCCGTGGGAGCCGTAGACCCTCCACTTAACTTCTCTGGGCCTCAGTTTCTCCCGTTCTGAAATTGGAATGACACACACTCACTTGCTTCTCATCTGGTGGAGTCCTCCCGATGACAACATTGTAAACATCCATCAGCCAGGATGTCAAGGGTGGTCCATCCACGTCATGGCATCACGGGCAGCCATTAAAAGCAATGACTGACTCATGGATCTGGAGATTAATTTAGTAACAAAAGCCCTGCTTTTGGGGTTTTGTTTCACAGCTT